TTGTTGTAATCTCCTTAATCAGTTTTATTTATAAAAACCATACATCTTAAAGACTAGATAACACAGTAATCCTATAGTGTCTCTAAGATGTAGGTTACTTCTTCTTGAGGGCCTTTTCTGCGGCCTTGGTAGTCTTGCCAGATTGATCCTTCTTGTTGACCTCCTTGATCACACCCACAGCTACCGTCTGCTTCATGTCACGCACAGCAAAACGTCCAAGGGGAGCATACTGTTGGAAGGTCTCCACGCACATGGGCTTGCTGGGAACCATCTTTACGATGCAGGAGTCGCCAGACTTCACGTGCTTGGGTCCGGCTTCCAGCTCCTTACCGGTACGCCTGTCGATCTTGGTCAGCAGTTCAGCGAACTTGCAGGCGATGTGAGCAGTGTGGCAATCAAGCACAGGTGAGTAGCCAGCCTGGATCTGGCCAGGGTGGTTGAGGACGATCACCTGGGCGGTGAAGTCAGCAGCTTCCTTGGCTGGGTCGTTCTTCGAGTCGGAAGCGACGAAGCCACGCTTCAGATCCTTCACGGACACGTTCTTCACGTTGAAGCCAACGTTGTCACCAGGGACAGCCTCGGTAAGAGCTTCGTGGTGCATCTCCACAGACTTTACCTCAGTGGTGGGGCCAGTGGGGGCAAAGTTGACAACCATACCTGGCTTCAGGATACCAGTCTCCACACGGCCCACGGGCACTGTTCCAATACCTCCAATCTTGTACACGTCCTGTGGGAGGAGAGAAACCATATTAATAACAAATTCTTTCATTTCAAAATTCTGCAGCCACTCATTCAATCACCCATTAAACTACATCTAACAACCATGAAGTGATAATTGTTTTACACATGGTCAATATTTTCATTAAGTACTGCAATTAACACCTGAGCAATCTGAGGATGCTTACCTGAAGGGGAAGACGGAGGGCCTTGTCCAGGGGTCTGGTGGGGGGCTCGATGTTGTCCAGGGCATCGAACAGGGTCTCGAATTCATAGCTGTCGCTCTTGCGCTGGATCTTCTGCTTCTTCCACCAGCCCATGTTTTCGGATTTCTCAAGCATGTTGTCGCCGTTGAAGCCGGAGATGGGGATGATGGGGACCACATTTGGGTTGTAGCCGACCTTCTTCACGTAGGCGCTCACTTCCTTGTGGATTTCCTTGAAGCGCTCCTCTGAGTACTTGGGCTCGGTGCTGTCCATCTTGTTGACGGCCACGATCAGCTGCTTCACACCCAGGGTGAAGCACAGCAACACGTGCTCACGGGTCTGACCGTTCTTAGAGATACCAGCTTCGAACTCGCCAGTACCGGCAGCAACGATCAGCACAGCGCAGTCAGCCTGGGATGTTCCGGTGATCATGTTCTTGATGAAATCACGATGGCCTGGGGCATCGATGATGGTCACGTAGAACCTGTTGGTCTCGAACTTCCACAGGGCGATGTCGATGGTGATACCGCGCTCACGCTCAGCCTTCAGCTTGTCCAGCACCCAGGCGTACTTGAAGGAGCCCTTGCCCATCTCAGAGGACTCTTTCTCGAACTTCTCGATGGTTCGCTTGTCGATACCACCGCATTTGTAGATGAGATGACCAGTAGTGGTGGACTTGCCAGAGTCTACGTGGCCCACCACCACGATGGAAATATGGATCTTCTCCTTGCCCATGGTTGATTACTTGACCGAGAGCTTACAGATCTGCAAAAGGAAGCACAACTTAGTTTCGAATAAAAGATGGCCGCGGTTTAGCTTAAGGAGTGAAATATCCCTAGATTTAATCCTAGATTTTAACCTATCTTATTTTCTACGTGATCTTAAGGTTTACTACACAATGTAGGTGATTAGCAATAAGTTGATTTATTAGTTTACCTAATAATACTTCAAACATGATTTGATACTCATACGAGTAGAGAATATAAAAGGGGAAAAAAACTTCTATAACCATATAAAAATTACAATACTACACGTGTTCATTATGCAAAGAGCAAATTGAATTGAAATATTTAATAGCTTAAACACGCCCACAGGTCCTAGAAGAGCACAACATTTTCCGGATCTTTGTTCCCTGGCTTGGGCGCGGGTCGTAATGGCGGCGCCGTAGCCTCGTGCCAGCTACAGCCGGCCGGGCCCACGCACTGCTCTACGACGACAGGGATTTAGATCGTGAATTAAAGGAATCAGTTTATCCACAGCGCTGCACTAGACGCACATTTCCACTGCGATTCCGGCTTTCGAATCAACCTCGCAAGCCTTCGTTTTCTACGGAACATGTGGCGGGCGGCGACCATGTGGCCTCTGACAGCCGGCAGCTGGCCAACACTTCACTGCTTGTAACGAGCTTATTTGGGCTCTTATCCTTCCTCCAAGGTTCGTCACGCTTTGCACCTGCATTAACGCACTATTTTACACCTTTTCGTGTACTTTTTTCCTTAAGGATGTCACTGAAAATCGCCACTTCCACGGATTCTTACCTTGGCAACAGGCCCGCGTCGACTGGCCAAGACGGAAAGGAACGAAGCAAGAGGCCGAAAGTACTATATAGCCCCGGCCTCTTTTTTCATTGGCTGGCGGTAAGTGACGTCACATCAATCCGACCAGCCTATTGGTTATTAGGGCTAAACGTCACTGTATGAAGACGGTTCTGATTGGTCAGCGGGGAAGCGTCGCGCGCACCTCTCGCGTCTCTATGTCTGGCGGGATTTTCGTTCACGAGCGAGAGGCGAACGAGCGCGTTTTGGGCCATTTGAGAAATTCGTCATTTTGGGGATTATTTGGCTTTTATTTGCGATTAAATTGTTCCATGGCGTATTTCATCTTTCAGTTGACTACATTTCGAGTTTATTGTTAATCAGGTGAACTCAGGGGCTAATAAATATGGATACATAATGTATATTCATACTATTCTACAATTGCATATCGTTGAGCAAATTTTTAATCTCTCAGTGAATGGTAATGTAAATCTTGTTAATAGGCAGTGAAAATAGGTTATCATTCTGAGATGTTACGTTGCATATGCACGTGCTTACAAGGGACACTTAAAAGTAAATAATGTCTCTTCTCTCGCGCTTTATATCTCAACACATTAAATTATATTCATTCTCTCTCTCTCTCTCTCTCTCTCTCTCTCTCTCTCTCTCTCTCTCTCTCTCTCTCTCTCTCTCTCTCTCTCTCTCTCTCTCTCTCTCTCTCTCTCTCTGTTTAAATACCTGGAGCTGAATATTGGTTCCGCTATCATAAACATGAGAAAAGAAGTGTAGCATTTTTTCATTTCAGGTTACAATGAAAATATTACTTTCCTATTTAACAGGTGACCACAAACATCACTTTAATAGCTATACACTCTTTTGTATTAACTTATTTAGTCTTATACCCTGATGATTTTCTCTTTTTGCAGCAAACACGAACGTCCCCGACTTTCAAAGCGTCATGTTCAGCATAACACAATCTTCAAGAAATTAGGGCTTACACATTAAGTAATTCATAGGCTACAATTGCTGAAACAATCTGATCATTAAATTGTTCATCCTACATAGAGGCCATATCCTCTCGACATTATAGTGTCTGAGGAATATGCTTGCATCAGCCAGGAAGGAGTGATGCCATCTGACGCTATGGCCACCACAAGGTCATGTTCAGACCAGGCTTGCCAACCAAAGAAATGTGATGGACGTTAGTTTAGAATCGTATGTCCTCATTAGAAAGGAATGCCAAGTCGATAATAAAAAAAATCGATCGGTTTTGGAGAGGAAGGGTAAAATCTTCACCCGGGGAGGAACTGAAATTTTACCTCTGCTCTGGGATTCTGACATAAAACGTCGTCACAACTGAGTGATGGCCGGTATACATGCCCATCTTTGTACCTATTTTGATGGAAGAAGGAAGCTTTTGGCGGTTTATTTATGTTGTTCGCCCTTATCAATGAATACAGGCCTTTTTAAAGCAACAAGTTTCCACAACGATAACCTACACCTAAAAAAACATTTGCACTGGCGGTATCATGTGAAGTACTAACGGTAGATGCAGCGGAATGAAAACAGAAGAAAATGCAGCAGTAGCTATGTTAGCATCACTTGATTATAAACAGACCCATAGTTCAAAGCTTCTATTTATCATACTAGAGTTGTATCCGAAGATGAAAATTGTTATTTGTGCCCTCCGGCTAGTATAAAAACAAAATTAGGACAGTGCATGTGGTTTGGCGTAATGCTTGCACATTCCCCAACAGCGGATATGCTGCTCCATTACTCCCAACGCCGTTTGGTAACCAGCTATAATACCCTTTATTATACTTCACATACTCTGGGGTTTCCTGCACTAGGATAAAATTTGTTACATAGGTATTCTGGATTCTTCTGCACAAATAAATTAAGGATATATCCTACTTCAGCTTCCAATCAGATATTTTGATGAAATCAGTATGAACAGGATTCTTTCTTCAAAGTGCCCTTCTAGCAAGTGTAGAATCATTTCCGGCAGACATCTGACTGTATCGGTGGGTGGGAGATGGGGAGTTGAACCGGAGAGGCCTGTGAGGATTTTAATTGATACCGCGCAGACTTTGTTTTATTAATATTTGCACAGAAGAAAGTGTTTGCCAGAACATCTCATCAGCCGATATATGTATTTTCCATATTTCCGTATCAGTTATGAGTACTTTATGGTGATGAGAACAGTAGCCATATGGTGTACTATAAATCAAACCATAGGTTTCGTTGACGTGGAATGCAACAGGTTCCTGCACTGGGAAACTTTAGGTTTACTTTCAGTTGTGAATATACAATACTACTTGATATAATTCATTTGAATGTTTATTGGTCTTTTAACATTAAAGTGTAAAAATATTTTCATCATGTAACTTTTCAAAATCAGGTTAACATTTATTATCAAGATACTTATAAATCTACGGCAAATCAGCTTGTGCATTTAAGCAGAGACAGATAGCCTACGGTTGACATAAGTTCAGTCAATGCTGATCTGCTGTCCCTATGTATAGACTGAAATACATTTCTACTCTTGACTGTATGCTCCCACCTCTGACGGTACTACAGAGCAGGGGGGATGCCTGTGAGCATTTTGTTTGTGTTCCCGCCACAGCGCAGGCGCCGGCTTTGCTTATTCTCGTCAATAATATGATAAAAAAAATACAAAGTTAGATACAGTCATATTATTTCTTAGAATGTCAAATTTACAGAGCAATTTTCATGTTGTGGGGAAAATGTTTCGGTTTTCCTGTGGATTGTTGGAACTGCCATGTTGGAACCCGCCGTACGCTGCTCTGATGTTTGTCAGTTCACAAAATGCATTTCTTAGAAGCTTTCTGCAGCATACCGCTTTTAGTTTAGTTGTATTATATGATCAATATAAGCATAATTAATTATGAAAAAGAATGATGTTGAAAAGAATTTCATTAACAAATAATGAATCTGGCATCAAATGGACCTTTAAACGATGTTCCAAAGCTTTATTACAATATTTAGACGCCTTAGCATTATACTTTTTACAATTAATTATTTTATAAATGCCGAAAGCAGAAGCTACATAGCTCTACCCAAGATCTTGACTTCTGCTCCAGCGAACGGAAGAAGCTCTATACTACGGCTTCTGTCAGGCTTACCAACCCTGCGACACCGGCGCAACACGTGGGGTGAAGTGAGCCCACGTGGTGAGGCCGCGACGTGAGTTTAATTGGCTTTCTTGCCATGAATGAACGTGCACAAAGGTTAACGTTCATAACAAATGTTTATCGGATGCACTCGCATTCGAATTATCATAATTTGAGTAAAATAATTTAGCAACGGTATTGATCGGCATAGTGATTCACATCACAGCATGTCCTTCTTTCTCTCAGTTAGAAGAGCCAAAAAAGGAAAACAAAAGAAAATGAAAATAATAGTCAAGAGTAAAATACTCGTATTGATGAATGAAATCAACAATCCAACACTGCCACATTTTAGATGTGTGTACTAGAGATTCTTGGCTTCAGCATGCACTCTGTGACGTCACAGGCTGGCTCTCCTTACTCCTTTCCACCTGGGAAACACGCACCGCTGAGTCACTGGTGTCCTACCCCCGCACTCTCTCCTCCTCCGTCCTCATGCCACATAACAGAACATCCCCATGATCTATTTCAAGGAACCTCATTAGCTCTTATATGGATAGGCCTATTAGTGGCAGTCTTGCTGCACCTGTTGACCTGACGTGCTTGCAATCTGGATTTGATTTTTTTGTGTTTCCCCAAGAATGTATTTTTTTTTTCTCTCTCTCTCTCACTCTCACCTTTGAAACGTCCTTACCTGCATTTACCAGCCCTGGAATATCCTGTACGTCGGTTTACTATAGTTATCAACTCCATCCAGGATTATAATTGCAAAATGGCCTTGCTTTTTATTGAACATTTCATGTGGTCTGTTCGGCATATGTCTTGGAAAATAATCATACATCACAATCCACAATCCTCTCTGTCTACCTCGGAAATTTGATTTCCCACAAAGTCTCGTTCTTCCCCTTTTCCTGTGTCGTTATCATTTATATTTTTCTTCTTTTTACTTTCTCTTGCTCTTCTTTCTCGTCCATTACCACTTTTTTTCCCCTCCTCTCATTCTTTGCCTTCCTTCTTCATTTTCACTTTCCTTTATTTGTTTTTTCTCTATCTTCTGCTGCTGCTGCTCCTCCTCCACCTCCACCACCACCACCACCTCCTCCTCCTCCTCCTCCTCTCCCCCTCCACCATCACTACCACCTCCTCTCCCACGTTCACCTCCTCTTCCTCCTCCTCCTGTTTCTCCCTCTCCTCCTCCCCCTCCCTCTTCTACTCTTATTCCTCCTCTTCCTCCCCTTCCCTCTCCTCTTCCTCATCCTTCCTCCTCTTCCTTTTGTTCATCCATCTCCCCCCTTACTCTCTTTCTTCCTCTTCCTTCTCTTCTTTTTCTTCTTCCCCTTCCTCTTCCTCCACCTCCTCACCCTCACCCTTCATCTTCCTGTTCTCCCTTCCACCACTACTTTATCATTTCTTCTCCTCCCCCTCCTGTCCCCTTCCCAACCAGCAGCGCTATCAGCTCTCCTCATCCTACTTCTACCCTTCCTCTTTTTTCCGACCGCTCGGCACGGTTTTGTAGCATCAAGTTGATAATATTCAGGGCGTGACTTTCTTTCCCTTCGCCACAGGATCAGCTGACCTTCGCAACTACCACTGCTCTAATTATCACTGAGTGTCAACCGTCACCAGTCCTCTCCCTTCTTTCATTTACATCTTTCTCAGTCTTCTTTTACTTTACCCCTCTTCTATCAAATTCATTGCTTATTTTGCTGTGCGTCTTTCTGCTTCTCCATTAGAAATTCTTTCCAAATTCTCCCTTTTCCGAATCATTCACGAGCAAGGGATTTCTAACGCCAAGATATTTAAAATCGGCAACAGAAGCAACGCGGATATGTTGTGTCGTCTAAAAGGCAAACCGAAGGCAACAACACACGTGCTGCCAGGAAAACCAACAACAATAAAATCAACTTCAGACTTACCTGGCACAAAACCCCCGCCTGCATTGTCCTTGGCACTGGCTCTTGAGTGTCAGGGTCTGGTGACGTCATATTCGCAAATCTCCTGTGT